GAAAGAGGAGGAGGAGGAGGAGGAGGAGGTAGAGGTGGAAGTGGAGGTAGAGCTGGAGGTGGCGGTGACGAAGAAGGTTATCGAGGAAGGGGAACATGGGAAGGAGGCGGTGAGGAAAAGGAAAAGGTGGGTAGAGGCAGATCGAAACGTAGGAAAGAAAGAAAAGAGAGGTTAGGGTGGTAGACAGGATGCTACGTGGGAAGTTAGAGAGGGTGAAGAGAGAAACTGGACAAAGCCGAGCGAAGCAACAGAAATTTCTTGTCTTGTCATCTCTTTCTATCTTTTTTCGTCCGTTCTGTTCCCTCTTTCCGTACTTTTCTCTTTCGTGGTGCGACAAAGATGCTTGCTACGGATCGAGGGAGTACGATGCTTGCTACGAGAATACAGAATGATGGAGAAGAGAACGAAGGAAGAGAAGGGGAGAAGAAGAAGAAGAAGAAGAAGAAGGGGAAGAGAAATAGGAGGAGAGGCCTCGGATGAAAAGAGAATGGCCATGTTCTTTGGTTATTCCGTGTGAATCTGTCTATGGGTTTCGTAGGAGATAGAGAAACTGAAAAAGAATGGAACAGCACGAAAGGAAAAGAGAGCACTCCGAGAGAACGGCAAGCCTAAAACGAGGACAAAGAGAAAATGACAAAGGCGAGAGGGGCGTTCGATTCGATTGGAAAGGCAGGCAGAGGGGCCTCTTTCCTTTTACCAGCGTTTTCTCCGTATTATGCTCCGTACTTTCCGTTGTTCCTATGCACGTACGTTCAGCATTGCACACAAATGCATACGAGTACACACGTTCATATAGTATACATGTGTAATATACTCTGTCCGGAGAAACATACATTCACCCGAGTTCTCCTTTTTTTTCCTGCGTTCTTTGCGTCCATCACGTTTCATTCCTTCTTTCTCTATCTGTTATATTTATAGCTATCTCTTTCTCTTTCCCTATGTTCTTAACACTTTCGACGTGTACATGGCTTTATCTGTTCGTCTCTCCGCTTCCTCTCTCTTTTACCATCTCAATTACTATACGAGGTTTCACGTTATGTGGCTCTATGCTTTTGCGGTGAGAGGGCAGCTTTATACGTGGGTGAACGGGAAAATGTCTTTTGAAACCTTTCTAGGTCGCTCTCGATCGCCCCACTGTCAGTCATATACACGCGATTCCGCTTGGGGCTCTTGAGAAAATAGTCGATCTCATCGTAGTTTTCTTTTAAAGATAGTACAAGTTAAAATTATAGCTCTTACGTTCCCTTTTTCTTTTACCCTTTCTTGAAATTATATTGTTATTAAATAGAGAAATCAGAATTGTAAATAAATCTGATTGCATATATATATTCTTTTTCTTTTTAAGAGCAAAACTTAAGTTGCGAGTTTTTAAATGCGCTTACTAACGTTATCTCTTACGCAGTCGCAGTCGCCCTCCGGAACTCGAGCCTTGGATCGTTCTAAGAAAAAAATGGAAAGAAAGAAAAAGAGAAAAGAAGAGGAAAAGAGAACCTGATAGAATGGAAGGGATTGAGAAACGACAAAGAGAGGAAGAAATAGACGAGAAGAAGAGAGAGAGCAGAGAAAAGAAAATATACATGGTTCTCCCGGCGGATACGAACGCGGCAAGGCCGAGAGAAGGAACAGTAAAATTGTAGAGAATGTGTACGCGCCATCAGGGTGGCCTAGATTCAGTCAAGACCTGCTTTCTAGGCAGCATTTCTCTTTATCATCGGCACCGCTGGTACAATGTATGGGTAAACCGTTGGTTGCCGCACGATCGTGGAGAAAATCTCAGGTGCACATAGTGCGTACTTATTAATGATTCTTCCAATTCTATCAATGATTTAATAAATAATTTCTATGTATAATTACAGATTTTGAATATGATGCATTCTAGATTCTCTATTTTCCGAGACATTATTTCTTTTCTTTCGATCTTGTGTCTTTATCGTAATCTTTATTTTCAATACTTTATTTTTAATATTTTAATGAATATTTTCATTAAATTCAATATTTTCATTTACATTGTTCTAATTTGTATAGTAATAAAATTTTTTATCAATTTTTGTCACTCTAAATATCGTAATTCAAATTTAATCCATAAATCATTGATATCATTACAACATATATAAATACTTATAATATACTGTATTTGTATTATTATCTTTGTATATAATATATACACAAAGATGAAAGTCAAACGCGAATAATAAATATTATATCAATGATTACAAAAAATCTATACTTGATGTTTTTGTGAAAGATAAAATTAAAAAAAAAAGAAAGAAAAACGAATTTTGTAAAATCTTTGTTGCGTATAAAAATATGATTTGCGTATTACGAATAATTTTGCGCCAAGACAAGATGCTAGTCATGTTTTTCTTCGTATACAGCTATACTATACGCGCAAACATTAAATAAGTGTTTCCTGCGCATACGTAATCGCTGATTATTGGACAGTTATCGTGCACGTGACCTACCGTAATCGACGACAGCGATTCGAACGTGCACGCGGCAACTGTTCCAAATCCTCATGGTGAGAAGCCACGAGGCGCGCGTGGAGGGACGTTTAATTTGTCTTTCCGAATGCGACAGGTCGTTAAATGTCGTGGATCATTGTCACGCACATCTATGCGAATACGCACACGCGACTGACCAGCTGTGCGGAACTATAGACGAAGCGGTCGAAAGTCAAAACAATACAAGACAAGCACGCGTAAACGCGGTACAAAATATCGCTTGTGAAAGATTGACAGTATTTTCACATCGAAGCCCCAAAATAATTATTGCTCAAACATTCGTTCATTGATATATTTTTCATCTATTACTATTGTATATATCTAAGATTCTGTTTAAGACGTGTCAATGTACAACAATAAGTAGATTTAATGCATTCGTTGTTGAACAAAGAAATGATTAAGAATCATGATGGAATGATATCGATGATTCACGGGGTGAACAATTGTAGTGTACAAATTTATCGTTGCACTTACCTTACCATGACCTGACCCTCGAAGAAAATCACCACTGGAGTTAAACTTTGGTTGATGTTTGGCAACTCTGTGCCAAGATTCGCAGAAGACACTCACTTTTACTATAGTTATGACACTTGGTATACACGACTACGCGCAATAAGATGTCTTATAAAGGATTTTTCACAAAACGCGTGTTCACGCGATGACACAAGGACAATTGTCAGTCGTCACGTAAAGCACGTACTGCGCCGACGACTGGCAGTTGTCACTCTCGGTTTGCCCGTGAAAACGTCGCGGCACGAAGTGGCGTAGCGAATCACGGAGAGAGACGGAAAAAGAGAAAGACATAAATGCACACTAGGGGGCACCGTGATGGCGGCGGACGACCCGTGTTCCGTTGCGGACGGTGGCGCAAAGCGATTAAGCGATTTTGTTGTGGACCCCGATTCTTCCCTTCGTCGGCTCTCTCTTCCCGGCTTTCCACTTCTCCCGCGTCGCCTTTCGCCTCTCCCGCCGGCTGCGCTACGCCGTAAACGCGCCCCTGAACGGAAATCTGCCTTCTTCCCCACTACGTCCATGCGAATCCCTTCCACCGCTACGAATTGCCATAATGTTGAACCGGCAAAAATCAGGATTGTATCAACTTTCTTCTTTACAACTTTAAAATTTCTTTATTCAATATTTTTGATAAATAATTGAAAAATCGTACATCTGATAAAAAATTTGAATTTTCCGCCAAACTGTAACGTGTGTATATCGTTGGAAACAATTGATACAGGGCAACTTTAAATCACATGGAATAAAAAAGAAATCACTGTCATTTTACGAATTTGTTATGTACTACGCGTAGAAGATTTCGCTATTAATTATATATTTATAAATTTATTGTTCGATAAAAAGAAATTTACCAATAATTTTTCCTCTTTATATTCATCATTCTTTTGCCTTATGAAAGTAAAGTCACTAGGTTCTGAAAATCTTCTGACAGCCCTGTGTTAACCGGCCGTTCTCTTTACCCCACTATTCGTACCTTGATGCGCACAACGTCAAGTTCAATTTTCTGCGCCGCGTCTCCCCACAAGAACCACACTGTTTCCGAGCATCCCGGTTATCCCTTCGCAGAGCGGGTCGATCGTTAACGCGTAGCAGTTCGGCCATTGTGTAAAAAGAAGCCACGGCGCTCGGATAGTGTACGCTGAGGACAGGACGTGTAGTTTTCCCAAGTTTTCCTCTTGTGATATTTAGATTGTGCCAATATAGGTGAGTAATTTATATATATTTATAGATTTGTGTATTAATTGTGTTTCGAATTTCATTGTCGTTGTGAAAAGTTCATGAAAAATCAGGTTGTCCCGTTAAATCAATGGATAAGATGCAGATACATCATAAATACTTAATCCTTTTACGAAAGTATGGCATTCGAAATGTTTTAAATGAAATGTTTATTTCAAAATTTGCATGAATTTATCACTTTTTAAAGTATATCTATTTTCATTTTTCAAACATTTTTGAACACTTCTCGCCATTTTGCTTTGACCATGTCTGTAAAGTCGGCCATTATGTACGCGTGCTAGGTTGCGGCCCAGGACCGGTAATGACGTACAAGACATTTTATACATTTTTATTATCAATTATTGAATTTTAATTATTCATATGTTATCCTTTTTTCTTACGATGAATGAATTATTATAATTGAATGTATTCAAAAAATGTTCTAATTCAAATTTTAAAGTCAATAATCTTACATTTTATCGACCAGTTTCTTTTTTGAATACACAACTTATCAATATGTATTTTATCACTTTGCATTTGAATAATAAAATTATTAATATATATAAATTATAAAATATGGATTCTTATAAACTATATGATTTGTATTGTATTTATTTTAACTTCTTTGCTTTTTTGTTATATTATTGGGTTAGATATTTTTTAGATGAATTTTATTTTTACAAAATAAAACTTGTTATAAGAATGAAATTCGAACTTATAATCTTTTTTTCTTTGATAGTATTAATTTTATGTCATATTCAATATTCATGTAAATTATTACATGAAAATGGAAAAAATACAAATGTTGTCGGTTAGCGTCCTCTAGCAATAATTTCCAATCACGATGAAGATCATAACTTTTGAGACCAGAGCGCATGCTCAATAGTTTCTTTCGTTTTTCCTTCTCTCGTTCCCTCTTCCGGGGAAGCTTGCGCTCTCTGACGGTCGGCATACAACGAGTTAGGCATTCGGTTGCGCCATTGTTGAAAAGGGCAGCGCTCGAGGCGCACGCCGAGCTCGGACGTTTACGCAGTTTTTTTTTCATTTTTCACCCATCCTGTGATATTAGATTGTTTTATAGTCCATATTAGGTGAGTGTTACAACAAATAGTTAATCATTTGTTATATTTTTTGAAATTTGAAGAAAATTCCGGAAAATCTTAAGGTAGGGTGACATGGCGCGGGCGGATCCTCTGTACTTCTAAGGAAACTTATATATTTTTTTTAATTATTATTTAAAAAAACTTCCCAATAAAGCAAGTGTTTGCGATTTTAATATTCTCGTCCAGACGATGCTTTAACGGGAAAATTTAATATTAAAAATAAATTTCAAATCATCTTTTTCTTTGCGAACTTCACTTCTATCGCCATTTTGTCTGGGCGCGATCTCGCGGACGGCCATATTGTGATCCACGTTTCCTCTCCTTTCGTAGTTTCTAGGGGCGGTGTACGGAAAGTGCATCGTTCTTTTTCGCCGGTTAGTAAATATGTTTGAAAAAATTATCTGTCGTCAATTTGTTTTTGTTTCACACGTTGCTCGACACGATCTGACGTAACATTCAATAAGAGATAACAATATAAATAGATTACGCAATCGTCTGTAAGCAGTGGTGAATGCACTTCGCTTTATTTCATATTAATCTTCAAGCGCGTATGTACTTGCATTGTACCCCCCTCCAGTGCTAGTTTTACGCGGTGCGCATGTGAAGCAAGGAATCGATTTTACATTTTATTGCGCGTTAGTGATGTAAAGCTCGATGACGTAAATTATGTTACTTTTACCTTTTAATCCGTGTCATAAACTTTAACGTAATTCTTCAATGATAGTATAAAACTTTATGTGCGGTTTTAGTGATAATTAAATATTGTACATAATAATGTACAACATTGTATGGCAGTTAAAAATATGATAAAAATACAAATGTATATTATTTAAAAAATACTTTGATATTAAAATATCCTTATACGATATAGAATTGTTTTCACATTTATAAATTATATTACAATCTTCAATTTTTTTATTTACTTATAATTTTTTAGATCGAATATTTTATTATGATTTTTATAATTTTTTTCGACATAATTGACATAAATTACGGTTTTGTTTTTAAATTTAATATAATATCATTAGGGTACTAGATATCCTGCAGACGTCCCTGAATTCCAGGGGCAATCGAACTAGTGCGCAACTTAAATGCGCAGGTCGGGCGCAGCTGCGCATGCGTAGTGCTTGCGCGTCCTCCTGCATCATCCCCACCAAATCGTCCATTACCGTTATGAGGACACGCACAAAGGAAAAGGCCAGAACACCAATTCGACCGACGCGCTTGCATCGTACGGCCATTTTGGAAGCTTTGGTGCTTCCTCGCGGAGCTTTTATCGCGATTACACATATCAATCGGAATAATAGATATTATTAGCTCTGCCCTGTATTTTCAAATTACCGGCCTCGATGTTCGTGTTAATTGGGCGTAATATAGTTAGATAGCATTAAGCATAGAGTCGATCATCTTGAACGACAAACAGATCTGGTCTGTTCATTACCACGAATATTTTTTGCTTATTCAGTAACGAGGGAACGAAGTCCGAAAAAAATGGAAGACGACCAGCAATTCTGCCTTAGATGGAATAATCACCAGAGTACATTAATTCAAAACTTCGACACGCTTCTCGAAAGCGGGACGCTTGTCGACTGCACGCTGGCCGCGGAGGGGAAATACTTGAAAGCGCATAAAGTAGTGCTATCTGCTTGCAGCCCCTATTTCGAGGTGAGTGTATTTTTTAATATTTCATTATGTCATTAATATTATTAATATTATTTTATTGTTATTATTTATTATTTATATTAATTATTTTTAACAATGTAATTATAATTATTAATAATAATATTCATAATTTAATTACGTCATATTATATTTGATGTATATATTTCATGTTATATATTTTTTTAAATTGAAATTTAAAATTATTTAATATTATCGAATTTTTGCCTTTTAAAAATTTTTGTCTTTTCCATTAATTTTTATTTTGAATGTGTATTATTTATGCATTAATAAATAGTACAAAAAATTGGATAAAATTCATATGAAGTTATTTGAAACTTTGATTTTGTTTCTATTAATGTAATATTTTTATTTATTAATTAAGTTTCGAATTATGATAAATTTTGGAATTCAAACTAAAAGAGAGGAAACCTCAAATTGAAACAAGATGGCTGCTGCTCTTGTTGAATGTTGCCTGGGTGGAAGCCAGAGAGGCAGGGGGACTGAAAGCCCAAACCCCCTCCTGGTTCCTCCTGGTAATCAATACAGAGAAAGCAAGATGGCTGATTTCCAGGGCACTTGCCCTGGGATTTTACCCTGATGTGGGTGGAGGGGTTTATGAAGTAGCAATATATCATTGATTTAAATTCAAATTAGAAAATTGAATTCTATTGATTAATGTTTCAATTATTTATTATTAATTATATTTCAAATTATAATTTGATAATATATGGCTTTTATTAATTAAATTATTATATCTGTTGATTCTGAAATTAATGATATTTTAAATTTATATTTTAATGATATTTTAAATTTGATATTTTCACATGAAAATTAATAAAATTTCATGATACAATTAAATGGTTGAAGTTGATAAATAAATATTTGTATAGAAAATATTAGAGAATTTAATTTTTTGTTATAGGGATTGCTGAGTGAGCATTACGACAAACACCCGGTGTTCATTCTAAAAGATGTAAAATTCAAAGAATTAAAAGCAATGATGGACTATATGTACAGAGGGGAAGTAAATATTTCCCAAGACCAACTGGCAGCACTTCTTAAAGCCGCTGAATCATTGCAAATTAAGGGTCTATCAGAAAGTAGAACAAGTGGTAGTAGTAAAACGGACTTTAGGCAACAAAAAGTAGTTCCACAAACAACATCTCAAATGGACATTCCACAATCGTCTTCCGGTCTCACGATAGAAAAGAACAAAGTTCCTAGGCAGGGTATGGCACAAGGTTCCGTAGGGGACCTGCCCGAAGACTCGGCCAGTCCCCAAATACCTAAGGGTCTCTCCTCGAGGTAAGAATATTGAAACATTTAAAAATGATTTATATATCTGATTATTCGTATAAAATAAAATTATTATTCTTCACAGGGAAGGTTCTCAAAGTCCCACTTCGAGGAAAAGAAAAAAATTTAGACGAAAAAGTATAGGCGATGATAATTCTATAGAAAACCACGAAGCGTCGAATTCAAGCGATATGCCTCAACAAATGAGTGTTCCTGCGCT